GCGGAGCTAAAAATACCTGCTAGTTTTATAACCGGAACCAACGCCGTCACGTCGAACGATCTCAGTTTGCAGTTTTACGGACTCGGTGAGATGGATTTAAACATCTGTGTTTAATTTAAACCTTGCCCACACTGACAACTGTGTTTTTCTGATTTTCGGTTTCATGGTTCAGAATCACATGAAGAGAACACAAAGACACTTTTATGGACTTTTAACTCACAAACTTGTTTTCTTGTCTCAGCCGGAGTCAAAGAGGCCAGAAGAAGAGACACAACAGGGATTTTATTTTAATTACTAAATGATTGGTGGCATATCGCCGGGTTCTAAGTAATCAATCAGAAAATAATAAAGCTAATTGTTCCATGTTTTAAGTGGATTTAATTACAATAATTATGAACACAAGTTTGTAAGTTGACCAGTTTTAAAAACCAAATGAGTCCAATATTAAGCAGGTGGAGACTTAAAATCCTGAACTCAAGATGAAGAAAAGTTCACCTGAACTCGACTTTTAAATCTACAAATGCAGAAATCTGACTTTAAATCACACAAGACATTAGGCTGATGCAGCACTCAGCAATTAACAAACTTAAGTTGCTCCAGTTAGATTTTTTTCAGCAGTTTTTATGTTTTTGTTTCTTTAAAGAAATAAAATGCAGCAGCTTTTAAGAATCCATTCATTCAACAGCAGTTATTTTTCCATTAACTTGTTTTTTTAAATTATTATTTTATTGTTTTGTATCTGAATTATATTTAAATCTTGAAAAAAGTGCAAATTTGACCCTAAATTCCCACATATTACGTTATTATGTCAACACAACTCTTATTTAACAGTTTAAGTTGCTCCTGTTAGATTTTCTTCAGCAGTTTTAGGATATTTTTCACATCTTTGCTGTTTTAAAACACTTTTAACACATTTATGTATCAACATAAAGTTTCCCAACAAACTGTTCAACCAGATTTCGCCCAATTTAAATTTTTAAAGTTGACTTTAATGAGATTATCTTATCGTGTGATTAATTTAGGGCACTTCTGGCTGAACAGTTTGAAGGGTTGTTTAAGTTTTATGCACTTAATTACCATAATTATGAGTTTTTGCCTCAGTGTTGGATCGGTTCAAATTCTCTCCTTAAAATAAAGAAAAATGAAGTTATCAAACCAATTAAGTTTCCCAACTTAAATACAGTTTTAAATCAACCACTGAGTTTATTTTACTCACACGACCCAACATTTACTATTTTAGTTGCTCCAGTTCGATTTTCTTCGGCAGTTTTTGGCTTTTTTTTTTTTTAAATGACACAAAATACTGAGTTGATGCGATCACCAACATTAAACATGTCAGCGTTGTGCCTCATTTAAACACTTAAGTTGCTCCAATGAGATTTTCTTCGGAAGTTTTAGGATGTTTTTGTCGTCTTTTTGTTCACGTAGCAGCTTTATGAGAGTTAACAGCCACCTGTGACATGTTTGTGCTGTTTGTGAAAGTTAGAGGCATTAAAATAAAGTTACTGGAGACACTTTTCCACCAGATTTTGCCAAATTTTGACTTTTAATGTTGATTTTTGTAAGAAAATCTAATCATGAGATTGATTTAAAGCACTTTCTGGGTGTTTTTTTGTTTTTGTTTTAAGGATTATTTAAGTTTTATGTGCTGAATTACCACAGTTATGAGGAGAAACTTTTAATTTGAAAAAGGTAAATTGCTTCAGTGAAATTACCAACAATAAATATCTCACCTTTAAATCAACAAACGCAGAAATTTGACTTTAGTTTCCACCCAATATTAAGATGATGCAGTTATTTTCATTATGTCAACATGAACCATCATTTTAAACATCTGAGTTTCTCTAATTAGATGGGGGTTTTTTTCAGTAGTTTTGTTCCTGCAGCTGCTGTTATAGTCCACCTATAACATCTGTTTGTGTTGTTTATGAACCTTTTTCAACTAATTTAGACTTTTAATTCTGATTTTTGTGAGAATATTTAATCATGAGATCAATTTAAAGCACTTTCTGGGTGATTTTTTGAAGGATTATTTCAGTTTTATGGGGTTTTTCAGTAGTTTTGTTCCTGCAGCTGCTGTAAAAACACCTACAACATGTTTGTGTTGTTTATGGAAACTTTTCAACCAGTTTTCACCCCTAATGTTGTTTTTTGTTAGAAATACCCAATCATGAGTGAAATGTGGAGACTCTTCTGTGTGAGGAGCTCGTGATGAGTCAACCTTCATCCATCATGTGTCCGTTTGGCTGCAGCTGCTATAAATAATCCACTTTCTGTACATTCAGGCTGGAATCAGTCTCCCACCGGCAGCATGACGCCTGTTCCTGCTCATTCTCCACAGCTTCCCGTCTGAGCGGCTCAGCCTGGCCAGGAAGAGGAGGAGGAGGAGGAGGAGGAGGAGGAGGAAGAGAGCAGCATCAGCAGCAGGAGGAGGAGGAACTGGGAGGCGCAGCGTCTCCAGCCAGCGACGACAGCAGCCAAAATAGGTAAGAAACGCTCATGCAAATAAATTCTCATGTCCGCGTTTAGGCAGGCAGCAAATAGGAGATGAAAGGAGGCAGCGAGCTGCTCTCTGCTCGGAGGTCGGAGGATCCGCGCTGCCATGGGGTGAGCTTACATAAGGCACCGGGCATTCCGCCGCTTCCTGCCCTTATCTCCGCTTTCACCACCGCCGAGGCTTTCTGGACCTCTGAGCCTGGATCACACGTTAAACTGTCGAGTTTTGCTGATTTTTTTTAAACCTCAAATCCGCCTCTCAGCCGCAGTAAACATGCAGCCTGTGTGCGCCATCGGCCGCCTCTGCTGCGCGTTCTGCCGCAAAAACAGGCGCTTAAGGCTGCCGGAGATGCGCACGGCGGCGGCGGCGGCGCTGTTCGGGTATTCACCTCTTTATTACCTCTCATCGACCTAAAGGCTCCGTGTTGGTGTTTTTGTAACAGATAGACAGAGATCCGCCTCTGCAGCCACTAAAACGTCCACTTCGGATTATCGTTTGTTTTTTTTTTTCCATCTGAGCATCAGTGTTCTGCATGCAGGCGCGCTCCCGGCCGTCGCTGTCCTTCAGCACCTCGTGAGCGCGCACGCATGGAGAGCAGAGATTGAGTGACAGCAGCCTGCGGTCAGGATTAGAGGTCTGATCTGTGAGCAGGCTGCAGATGTGTGATGAGGCTGATGGAGGCTGATGGAGGCTGATGGAGGCTGATGGAGGCTGATGGACGGTGTCTGGCTCTGAGCTGCACCTTCACGTCTCATCAGGGCTCCTCTGTCTGGAGTTCACACGGTTCAGCCCTCAAATCACGTTTTCTTTGTGTTTGCAGGTCGCTGTGAGTTTAAGAGCTTCTGTGAAAATCAGAAACGTCTGTTTTGTAAATGCTGAAGTAGCTTAAAAATCTCTTTAAGAACCGAAACAGGAAAGTCCGACTGCTGTTTCCTGTTATTTTATATATTTTATGTAAACCTGGAGGTTCATCTGATCAGCTGCAGGCTACAGATGAAGGACCAACGTTTCTTTTACAGGATTTTTATCAACAATTTGCTGCTATTTTACACGTTTTCTCTGTTTTGTTAAATTACAGTAAACTAGTAGATCGTATTATTTACATATTAATCCTAAAATCGTAAAATGACAGTTTTTTTTGGGTGTATCTGAAGTATAATAATTTGATGGATATTTGCTTTTACTTGAAGTATAAAATAAATAAAATGTTGAAGAGATTTTAAATGATTATTTTATGTTTTTCCCTCTTTTGTTAGAACAACCAGAAAAATCACAGAAAAGAAAAATGTACATGTTGCCTGAAAATAAACCTGAACAGGCCACAGCTTGAGCCTCCACATTAGATGTCGTAGTTTGTATTTGTACAGATATTTGCTGATGTTTGAACTCTTTGTACTGTTTTTGAATGTCACCATTTTTTTAATCGTTGCTTCACTTTTGGAAGATTTTCAGGTTTTTTTACATAATTTTTGAGCTTCAGCAGTTAATCAGCTGATCGATTAATCATCGATTAATCAGTTCGTCACAAACATCCAGGGAATCCGTTTCAAAGGCAAAAAGTCTAAATTCTCTTCTTCCAGCTTTTTATATTTGAATGTTTGTCATGTTAGAGGGTCCAGTTTAACCCTGTCAGCGTTTCTCCTCCATTTTCTGAAGATGAAGATGAGAAGTGATGAAGCTGAAATAGATTTTTATCAACGAGAAAAGCTCTGAACTTGGAGAAGTCTTGAGAAAAATGCTTTTTGATCGACTTTATGGTGCAAACTGGAAACACGCTTGATGGTCGAGCTGCAACCATTAGCCCATTAGCCCATTAGCCCATTAGCCAATTAGCCCATTAGCCCATTAGCCCATTAGCCTTCGATATTCGGTTACCCTCCAGCTGTTTTGACAACTGATTGACAACTTTTAACAAAAAACGTTCTCAATCTTTTGATTCCAGCTTCTTAAAATTGTATGTTTTCATTTTTTTCACAATTTTCTGTTGTTTTCGAGGCCGAGCAGCCGATCGATTCGTCACTGCGACCACGTGAGCTATGTTCAGACTCAGCGCTGCTACAGGTTCTAAACGTCTGCAACGCAAAGTTACTTCAAGTTTTACTGCAGTTTTAGGCTGAACCAATAAAACAGTGTCAGTCTGACTTCAGGACCGATACCGGTACCGTTCTGTTGTTCTGTTCACTCTTGTTTGATGCTCGGTGCTGTTTCTGAAACTATACGTCACTTTGAGTGATGTTAAGGGTCGTCTACACGGTTTAATTGACAAAGAAGCCAAACTTCAGAAATGTTTACTAGAGTTTGAACTTGAGCAAACAGTGGAAGCAGATGGAAGTCTGAAGTCTCTGTTGGTAGATTTTCACGTGTTATCGATATGAAACGGAGACTTTTGGCTCCGTAGACGCTAGAAACCCTTCATGTTACTGATCTGTACTGGCTCATGTTTGAAGGACTGTGATGAGGTTTGGCTCTTCGCTGCTTCATGTTGTGTTTCTGGTCGTTTCAGTGAGTCTCAGTCCAGGTCAGTGATGCTCCACCATCAGGACCAGCCTCTGAACTCGGCCTTCGGAGGCTCCAACAGCTCCTCGTCTTCGCTGCGGAACCGGAAGGCCGACAAAGACGGAAACTTCAACTTCCTGCCGGGAAAAGATGGCGACAGCTTCACGGGAAACGGAGGCGGAGATGAGAACCGGAACCAGGTGCGACCCCGTAACCTGGGCCCACTGGGTCGGGACCCCCCGAGCTCCTCGCCGTCCTCCGGCTACCACCACAACTCGGGGCTGCTGTCGCCTCGGTCCCGCCTGCCCTGCTGGAGCCCGCTGGAACCGCTGCCCGAGATTGAGAGCGGAGACGACGGCTACGGCCGAGTGCCGCCCGACGGCGCCGAGGAGCGCCGCATGGAGGAGGAGGAGGGCCGGGCCATGATGGGCCGCGGCGAGGAGAAGCTGAGGGAGAAGAGGGAGCAGCAGAGGAGGAAGAGCTTCAGGAGGCAGGAGGACGAGCAGGAGGACGACGACGAGTGGGGCGACAGCGACTCCGAGTCCGAGTTCAGCTTCCGGTCCGGAGGCAGCATGTCCGACCTCAACATGGAGAGCGGCGGCGAGGGGATGCTGATGGGAGGCTGGGACCGCATCGGGGTCGGAGAACCGAAGTCCAGCCACCAGGACGGAGACCCGAACAGCAACGAGCCCAGACGGAGGAGCGTTAGCCGGAAGTGTCTGCCGGGGAGCAGCCTGGGCGACGTCCTGGAGGAGGGCGGCGAGGACGACGACGACCGGTCCTCGGACTCGGACTGCGACCTGCCGGAGCTGATGGATGCCGTGTGGACGCTGCGGGACCGCGAGCGCTTCAAGGCCCAGGAGATGGAGAAGCACCAGGTGCAGCTGACCATGTACCGGCGGCTGGCGTTGATCCGCTGGGTCCGAACCCTGCAGGGCCGCGTCCAGGAGCAGCAGAACCGTCTGCAGTCCAGCTTCGACGTCATCCTCACGCACCGGAAGGAGCTGCTGCGGATGGGAGCCGCCGCCGCCATGTCGGCCGCCGCCGCGCCCGCCGCCACCGCCGTCGGCCAATCGTAGACGAGAAAACTGGAAACTGCACTTTGGCTCCGTTTGCTTCGACCCAGAAAACTTTTCTCCTGAAAGAACTCGAGCTGCGTTCCAAACCA